GAACAGCCCCACCCACAAACACGCCTATTGCGCCCGCCCTACCCGCCCTACCCGCACACCCACACACCCACACCCCCGCCGCAGGCTGGCCGGCCTCAGGAAGGCGGCCGCGCGCCTGCGCGCCGGCTTCGCGGCGCTGACCGGTTACTCATCCAAAAACGACACCGACCTCGTGTTCAGCTCTGAGGCCCTGCAGCTGCTCGAGGCGGCCCTGCCCGATGACGAGCGCAGCACGTACCGCTTAGTCATGCGGCCGGGCCTGCCGCCGCCGCCGGCGGCCGATGGGGGCGCAGCGGCCGGCGGCGGGGGCGCAGCCGGCGCTGGCCCCCTGGCGAGGGGGGCCGGGGGGGAGCGGGTGACGTCGTCGGGTGACGGGTCGCTGACGTGGCGGCGGTACTACCACAGCATGCTGGCCGGCGTGTACGGCATGCTGTACCGCGCGAACGTGCCGCGGTACAAGCCGGGGCTGGGGGAGGGCGCGGCGCCTGTGGAGCACGATTTTGTGTTTGTGAGGTGAAGGGTGTCGCGGAATACAACCAGAGGGGGGGGGGACGACACCCCCTCGCCTGCACAGCCAGCCCGGTTGCATCACCCTAGCAGCAGTCAAATCGACCGCAGCTCATGCCTTGATCCGCGCCGTGATGCTACATTTACAGAGTTGCGGCTTGACGCACCCAGATTCTTGGAGAATGCATTGTTGAGTGGTCACAATGGACACCTGCACAGACACGCTCTGTCCGTTGATGTTTTGACAAATTCCTCACGCTGTACACAACACAATCAACACACACCTGTAAAGTCAACGATAAACAATGATCACAACTGCTGCGGCGCTTCGGCGCCCATGTGCGCCTCTGGCAGCCTGCGCAGTATCACGGGCCCCTGATAGCTCTGCATGCGCGGCCACAAATCGCCCGCCGTCAGGCACCCCATATCGTCGCTCTCGCCCCCGCCACCGCCGCGCCCCGCTCGCCGCGCCGCCCGAAGCGCAGCCACCGCCGCGCCGCCCGCGAAGGTGCACACTGGGGCCAGCACCAGGCGCGTGAGGGCCGTCAGAGCTGTGAGCCGCCAGGGAGCGTCGGGCCCAAAGGCGCGCGCGCCGCAGCGCAGGTGGTACAGAGCCAAGTCCTGCAGGCCGGTGAGCGCCGCGACTGCCGCCAGCGGCGCCTCCTCTGCGGCCACGCCGGCCGACAGCCGCCTGAGCGCGGGGAACGGCGCCGCCGCCGCCCCTTCGCTGCTGCTGCTGCTGCTGTTACCGCCGCCGCCGAGGCGCAGGAGGTCGTCCCTCGACGGCAGCGGGCAGCGGGACAAGGATAGCGACGCAAGCCGCGCGCCCAGCATCGGCGCGGCGCCGCACGCGAGCGCGCGCCAGGCGGCGGGGGCGAGCTCCGGCTGGCTCAGCTCGAGATGCTCCAGCGGCGGCGGCGGCCCCGGCGGCGGCGCCGGCGATGCTGCCGCCGCCGGCTCGGCGGCGGGCCGAGGGGCCGCCGAAGGCACGCACCGGCTCGCTGCGTCGGGGCCGTCTGCGCCGTGATGCATATCATGGCGCGCACTGCTCTGCTGTGCGTGCTGTGCATGCTGGGGGTGCTGGGGCGGCTGACGTGTCGCCGTCATGGTCAAGATCGCCTCTGAAAGGTCTCCAAGCTCGAGGCTGACGCCTTGGCCGCAGGTCAGGCTCCGCAGGCGCGGGAAGCCCAGCAGCCAAGCCGACGGCAGCTCCACCTCGCCTGGGCCGGTGCACCTGCAGGGAGCAGGCAGTTGGATAGGCATCAGGTGTGTGCTTGAGAGTGATAGAATAAGTAGTGCTCAAATTGGTGCGTGGGTGCGGATGTGATGGTGCGTGGGCGGAGTGCAGTCAGGAGCGTGACGAGGGACCCCAGCTCTGGACACGCTCTTGCAAGTATGCGTGCGGCTTGGGGAGGGTGTCATGATGACGTCATGCGTCCGCTGACGCGCCGCACGACCCGGCGGTCCGCGGCTCCGCGGCCTGGCTCGAACCTCACCGCAGCTGCAGCTGGGTGAGGTGCGATCCAGCCGGCGTTGACGGCAGGTCTCTCACGGCGGACCAGGCCTGCGCATGGGGCGGCGAAGGGCGCAAGCGGTGGTGCAGGGTGCGAGGGGCACAAAAAGATTGCCGACGCCGGGCTGGGTATGGGTTGATAAGAGCGGCGGCAGGAAAGGGCTGCCGCACGCGTTCATGCATGCGCCAAGCTTCCTGCGGCGGCTCAGCATCCACCCTCCCATAAATTGTCTGCCACGCGGCCGCCCGCGCCCCCGCCGGGCCGCAGCACGCGACGGGGCCCTGCTTGGTGCCTTCAAGGGCACGCACGTCGAGAGCGCGCGACGCGTCGACCGGCAAAGCCAGCGACTCGAGTGGCAGCCGCGCCAGCTCCCGCAGCCCGTCCGGCGCGGCGCCCGCCCGGTGCGGGGGCTGCACGTGCAGCGCGACCGAGCGCAGCGCCGGCAGCGCCGAAAGGCGCGCCAGCTCAGCGGGGGACGGCGCATCAGTCAGGCACAGCTCCAACCCGCCCACGAAGAGCGCCCCTGACGTCGCGCTGATTGCGCCTGGGAGCAGGGGCGCGCGGCCGCGCGCGCTCGCCGTGGCGGCGTCGCAGAGGGCGGCGAGCCACGCCGGGCCGCGGCCAGGGGGCGTGGCGCCGCCGCCGCCCCAAAACGCGCTGTCTCGAGTCTCCTGGATCTGGATCGACGCCAGGCGCGGTTTAGTGGAGAGGAGGAGGCCAAACAGCCGCGCGAGGGCGTCGGCGTCAGGCGGCGCCGCCGCGCCCAGGGGCAGCCGCAGCAGCGCGCGCGTCGCGCGCGGGCACGCGCGCGCGAGCGCAAGCTCCGCCGCGGCGCCGCCCGCGGCGAGGTCTGGCAGGTGGATGCGCACGCCGTTGGGCGCGCCGGCGGCGGCCGCCGCGAACGCGCGGCAGGCGAGGCGCATGCGGGCGCGGGCGTCGGCGGGAAGGGGGCACGCGACTGCGGCAAGCACGTCATCTGGGAGGTCTGCCCACGACCGGGCTGCTGCTGCTGCGTCGTCCCCTAGCAGGGCGAGCTCGACGGGGCGGCCGGCCGCGTGCAGTTCTTTGCCTGCTGCTCGCTCTGCATCAGCAGGGTCGGCTGCAGGCGGGAAGGCGGCATTGGCGTCCATGCTGAAGGATCATCCCAATCGCGGGAGGGAGTGCTGCCACGCTGACGCTGCAACGTGCGCAGCGCGCCGCGACACCATGCTGCTGCAAGATGGCGCTGCGGCTGCTGCGGATGCGTGTGACCGACAGCAGCCGATTTCAGGTGCAATCCACCGATTGTGTGTACGACTATGCCGGCTGGATTTCGTCACTTGCTCACGTTGTTCATGTGTTCATCTGAATCAGATCTCAAACGAACGAGATACCAAGGGCGAAGACGAATAGCTGAGATTTGATGATGTTTGCTGTGCATCATGCAACCCCTTCCCAGGTTTTGTCAGCATGACTGAACAGGGGCAGTGTCACCAGGGCAGCGCACGGGTGTCTGTGCCCATTTCAAGGTGCTCAAGAGCCTTGTGATGTTGATGCTGTGGTAAGTGACTTTGCAACAGCCACAGGTGACTCTTGGTCACCATGTGAGACTCTGAGCTGACTGAGGCCGGCACGAGCACTGCAATGCACAGTGCAAGGGCGCCCACCGACATTCCATCCCCACAGGCTGCAGCCTGCTGACTTGCCCGATGGCGCAAGGTGCGTTCCAAGCGGTAACTCCGCAAGCTGTGCAGTTCTGAGGTCATGAGCGTCCTCAAAATCATCAAATTGCTCAATGCGCTGGGTATCTTGTGGCGACCACTCCCAAGGCTGACATGGAGATGACGAGCAAAGGGCATGGATGGTGGTCACCAGGGCAGCGCCGTTGGAAAGGAATCCATCACACAAGATTGAATGTTATGTGGAGGTCACTGGGTATGGTAGCCTGGGGTTTGCCTCCTGGCTGCTCTGCTTCCGCGCCACAACGGGCGCGCCCGGTACCGGCACAGGCAGCGGCTCAGCGTCGCCCTGACAGTGATGTCTCGCGAGTTCCACATAACAATTGCGCACCGTGCCAGGTACTGCCCCGCCGCCGTGACGCTGCTGCGCCCTACAAGTGCGCCCGCTCGCCACCGCGGCCCGAGCCACGCCTAGGCCAACGAAAAATCTGCACAGCCACGACGCTCACCAACGCCAGCAGATTCCTTGCCTACAGCACCTGCTAATCTGCGTTGCGTCCCCATTCGCGCGCCCCGCCCTGTGCAATTGTTGAGGTTGACGCCGCAGCGTTGCCCGGTGCGGCCTTGTTCTTGCAACAAGCCAGGCCAGCCGTGGCCCTGGTGTCGGACCCTGAGGTGCTTAGCTGGTACCCTCATGCACGTTCATAGCCAACTCACGGCCGCCAGTGCAGGAGCATCAGTGTGCGCTTTTGGACAACCTTTGTTATGGGATTGTGGGAATAAGCTGACGCCTGGTACCTTCGTCTCTGAGCCCTGCGGTCACATCCACCACGGCAGGTGCCTTTCACGACGGCACCCCCTATGAAGCCATGCTGTGCGCGGGTTGGGGAGGCGTGTGGCCAAGAGGCGTCCGCCTGCTGTTAGTGTATCGCATGCCCCTGCAATACACCGACGTAAGCTCGTGTGGGGTGGGTGCGGCGGGGCAGGGTCGGGTGCATAGTTTTTTCTCTGAGGTATGACGTGTACATGCTGATTAATGCACTGGTGTGTTTTTGGGTTCGGGCTGTGGAGCAGCAGTGCTAGCATGGTGTGTCCCATACCTTGTCCGCCGGGTGTTTCTGAAAGCACCTTATGAACGCGAGACGGACGGCATGTCTCGTACAGCAGCAAGTAGAATTGTACTGGAATGTCGGAGAAGGAAATCGGTGGCGGCGCCGCCCGTTTCCAGGGACCCGTGCAGCGGGACCTGGCATGGCGTGGACCGAGCAGGGGTGCCCACAATGCTGGGCCCTGAGGCGCCGGCCCCCTGGGCCACCCCCCCCCCCCAGAGGTGATGTTGGCTGTTTGCATGCCCCCTTGCGCTTTGCTTTGAAAATTATCGGTTGAGATTCCCTCACGAGACACAGGTTGCTGTGTCCGGCCGCGTGATTCGCGGATGCAGAACCCCTGGAATGTGGGGGAGGTGCACTCACCGGGTGACACCACGTTGCAGCCAGCTTCTGTTGGCGCCGCCAGGTCGTGAAACCCGAGCGTGATCAGTCCTGCATACTATTATGGTGCATCTCATTACGAATCGATCCTACATTCTGTCAGCTGTGTGCCAAATGGATGCCCGGCAATTTTGTCTGTGACAATCACTTCGCGCGTGAAGGACCGCCAATCACCCTCACTTGCCCGTAAACGACTACAGTAGTTTTACTGCCTCTTTGGTGTACACGGAGCGCGGTTCGGCCTCTGCCACCGACTCTATCATCGCTCTTGCGGCAAGGGCGGGCTCTGCAGTGCACCCGTGCGCTTCACCCGGCATCCAGCCTGTATATCATGTGGCATATGTCTACACCGGTCGAGCTTGCCACTGCGTGCCCAAGCGAGTCCATGCTAGTGTCCTTCCCGGCACACCACGTCACCGCCCCTTCCCCGTTCATGGGGGTTCAGTGGGACGCAGCGGAGCAGGCCTGGCGCGCTTGGCTCGTCTACTCTGGCTCTCGTACAAGTGTGGGCGGCAGGTGAGCAGGGTATAAGCGGCCGCCGCGCGCCCCCGCGCCAGCCACTGAAGGCGTGCTGGTTGTTGCTAACACCGTCGTCGCTTGGGCCCGGCCCGCGATGCTCTCGCGCCTCCTGCCAACCCGCGCCCGGGCGTCCCAACCCTGCCCCTGCGTCCTCGATGCGCGCCCCCACTCACGCATGCCCCCTCCTTCGACGTCCACTGCAGGTTTGAGCGGCCCGAGGCGGCTGCCCTGGCCTATGACGCCGCCGCTTTCCTGCTTTTCGGCCCCAGCGCCGCCCTCAACTTTGGGGCCGCGCGCGCCCAGGCGTTTGCGCCGCATCTGAAGGGTGACCCAGGAATGTGCGCGCTAGAGCAGCTCAAGATTTTGGCTGACATGAGGGCCGCGCTCGCGGCCGCCGGCCACGCGGCGTCGGCCGGCCCCGCTGGGCTTCAGGGGGCGGGCGCCCCCACACCCTGCAGCAGCGGGCCCGCGGGCGGCGCCGCCGCAGAGCCCAGCGCGCCGCGTAAGCGCCGCTCACCGGCGCCGTCGGCGCCGGAGAGCCCCGCCGCCCGGTGGTCCGCCCCGCCGCCGGCCGCGCGGCCGTCATCCGGGCGCCCACCGCGCTCGCCCCACTCGTTCCCCTATGCCCCCTCCCCGCCCTCGCCGGGCGCCAGCAGCAGCAGCGGCTGCTCTGGGGAGTGGCAGCCCTCGGTCCAGCGCGCCATCAGCTGCCCCACGCTGGGGTGCGCGCCCGCGACGAGCAGCGAGAGCACGGGGGCGCGCCGCCATGTTTCCGAGCCGCTGGCGCACCTGCTGGCCGCCCCGCAGCAGGCGGCCTGCTTGGCACGCAACGCATACAGCCTGCCGCCTCCCTCGCCGTCGCAGTGGCTGCCGCTGGGCCAGGAGCAGCAGAAGTTTCAGCCGCAGCAGCGCTACCAGGTGCCGCAGCAGGGACAGCCGCACCAATACGAGCAGCACGTGCATAACCTCGACAACCACCAGCAGCCGCAGCAGCAGCAGCAGCAGCAGCAGCAGCAGCAGCAGCAGCAGCAACAGCAGCAGGAGCAGCAGAACAAGTTAAATCACTGGCACGTGCCTGTGCAGCAGGCCATTAAGGATGCCTCGCCCGGCTCGGGCCCTTCCTCCAGCGGCATCAGCAGCGCCACAGCCGCCAGCCCGGTCAGCCAAAGCGAGGGGAGCGACGGCCTGGGCGCACACGCGGCGCCGTCAGGGTGCAGATGCTGCGGCGCCGACGCTGCGTGCGCCGCATGCAGTCCCGACGAGCGCGTCGCGTCGCACTCCGCCGCCGCC